AAAATTTAAAAAATTATGAACAAAAACTAATTTTGTCAGTAAAAGATAATTATGAAACTCTAACTCCAGCATTTATAAATCAACACGTCTTATCAGTGTAAATGTAGGCCGTGTCCGTTTGCGGCCAGAAATGGTAAAAATATCCATTTTGCTGCCCACCTGAAAAAGTGGATATCCACTTGCGGCCCACTTTAAAATAGTGGATATCCACTTGCGGCCCACCCCAAAAAAGTGGATATCCACTTGCGGCCCACTCTCTCAATTTTAATGAAAGTCAAATTTTTCTATTTTCACCAGATTTTATCAACTCACTGTAAGTATTATGAAATTCAAGGCATTTTAGCCATTTTTAATTGTTGTACACTGACACCTTGAAAATTTGTCTTTTATTCTTCTGTTTCAGTTTTTGACTGGGCCGCAAACTGGATATAATTTCATGTTTAGGTGGGCCGCAAAGTGGATATCCCTCTTTTTGGATGGGCCGCAATCTGGATATCCCCTTTTGGGTGGTGGGCCGCAAACTGGAAATCTAACTCAAGCCTACTTTTCATGGGCCGCAAAACTGCCTACTTCCAAATGTATTTTTCTTTACAAATTCCCTAATATGTCAACAAATTGCCTAATCTCTATTGGGCATTTTTATAAAATGCCTAGGTATTTTATAATTACCTAGGCACTTTATTAAATGCCTATGGGTTTTGTAAATAATTATTAAATGTTTACCAAATTGCAAAAATGGCTGGGTAATTAAATAGCGCTAGGTATTTTATAAATTGCCGGATTGCACAAATTGCCTCTAACACATGTACATATGATGGAAGTGAATTTATACAGCAAAATTTCCAACGTGATTTGACAGAGAATTATGAAATTTTGAAGAATATAAAATGAAATTGTAATGAGAGGCTTTCAAATAAATCGGATGAAAGATGAAATGCTCAATAAACTCTTGATGAAGTAATAACCTGGTTTAATATGCAACATCAGAGAATTCTAGCCACCTTTTCACCCAACTTTACTTATCAGAAGCAGCTGAGAGATCAGTCACTCGACAAAAAACCAAAAAGTAACCTAGTAGAAAATGAGTAATGTTTAAAAAATTTCTCTACAGCTTTCTTTTGAATTTGTACTCGTATAAAGATAGAATTAGTTTTTTGGTGACTCAGTGCAAAATACGTGTATGTAAAATGTACTTCAATACAACACCTCGTTATTGTTAACTTTCCCTTTGCGTAAGCCAAAAAATTTTATTTTGGGCAAGTTTGTATGAGAGAAAAACTTGTCTAAGATGGAAAATAATAGGGTCCCATTGGATTCCGTCTTAGACAAATTTCACTGTAAGTCAGTTTTTAAAAAATCAACATTTTAACAAAACCTGAAAGCTTCCAAAAAGGGTGTAGGTGAGTGAAATTTGCAGTCTAACATCCTTCTTTGTATCCTCTTGTGACCTATAGCGTTGCTATTGAAACAGTACGAACAATATGTTTTAACAAAAACTGAGGCATTTTTGCCAACTCGTCTCACAAAACTTGTCATATTTTGGGCTAGGAGAGGTTTAAAGATGTGAAATTTGGTGCGTGGTAGAGAAAAGCAGGACGAATTGATTTCTGAGTGATATAAAAAAAGGCTAAACACACTTAGGCCCATTCTTAAATCAGGAACTCAATTTCTTTTGAAGTATATTGCAAGTCTGTTAGTATCTGTTTCATCTATCCGACTTATTCCTGCTTTTCACTGAGCCATTTAACCTTATTCGTAAGTTTCACGGCGCCATCGGATCTGTAATATGTAAATTTGAGAATGCCGACGATCGACGAAGGTAAACATTATTTTCATTTCGAGCTCATACGAAAAAAAAAAACTATCACGATAAAAATGATAAATTTCGATTGCGGTTTCGCACGAGAAATTCTCATCGATCGCAACAATTCGCAAATTTCAATTTTCTACATGCAGGGAAATGTGGAAAAAATATTTACATAATGTTCTTCACGTAAGCCAACTGAAGGTGTTTTTTCTCACAAAATTACCTACAGATGACACATTAAAAATCTGTTATCGCAGTAGAGAAAAACGATTATCGTGTTTTTTCACTCGCACCAAGGCTGGGAGGTGAAGAGGAGTACGTTTCACGTTCGCGCTAACGAACCGAGAGTCAAGTGGGAAGATAACTGAGCGCCGTGAAAATTGACAAACCCTCATTACCGGAAATTTTTCCACCATTTTCTAGTGCCATACTGCACACTACGTATGTGAAATAACCTCTCACTTTTCTCAGTCAAAAAACAACTGACGATAGGTCTACTCATTAACCACGAGATTTGCGATACCGAATGAATAATTACGATTTTTTCCCTCTCTTTCTAGGAAAGGATTGCTGCATTACGTTCAGAGTTGGTAAGTATACACAGTTTTACACATGTTCTACGAGCGATAAGCATCAGAATGCTAGAAGCAGGATTTTTCGGCGAATTTTCCAATTTTCAGGCCTGCTATTTCAAATAACAGGAGGAAGGATACAATTATGAGAAGTAGAAAAGAGGGTAAACTGAAAAGTTTCGCCAAGTAGTGGATTTCCTTCATGCTATCAACATTTCAGTAAATTAAATGTGATTTAAAAGAGTGTCATAAGTCGAGAAGCAGAAGTTTTTCAGACCTGAAAATAAAGCAATCGATTATTCAATTATAGTACCGAATAGAATGAAGAATTCAAAGAAAATTTGATCCCACGCAGGAATATTGTGTGGAATGTCAAAATTGAATTCTTCTCGAATATTGAGTTTTAAAACGTCACCAGCTGCACTGAAAATGAAATCGACCACTCATACGCCATATTTTACATGCAAAACTTACACAATAAGATGAGAGCCTTTTTTTTTCCGTCTGTAACAAGTTTTAAAAGTTGGATTTCTTTTTTGGCATTATGTTTTGAGGAAGATTCAACCTTTGATTTGGGTCAAATTGAAATTTTGGTGATTTTTTTCAAAAACGATCAAACAACCTTACATGGAATGACAAATTGACAAACTATTCGTTTGATCAGTCTCTGCTTGATCAAATTTGCGCAGGGTACTAATATTTAAAACTCAAGTTCAAATTCTAACTTGCGTTGGAAACGTTGGCAGCTTTGCGCAAATTTGACCAATAAGGTAACTGATAAAACAAATGGGTGATTGAATTTTTTGTTCCATAAGAACCGATGTATTTTGGATGTCTATAAAAAAATCACCAAATTTTAATTTGGACTTACATTAAAGAGCAAATCAAGGTTTAAACTTCTTCTTCGAAAATATGAAAAAAAAATCTAACATTACCCTCCATCTCTGTTCCAAGGCGCGAATATTAGCTAACGAATTTGCTAGTTCAAAAAACCTCACTGCTACAAAGTCATAAGAATCATCTGAAAACTCATAAGATTTTTCACTCCTGTAAGCTTCATGATTTCAAGCTAAAGTTTCGAGGTGGTTTGGCAAATTCAAGATATGGGACCTGGAATAACGAAAGACGGTCAAGGACCTGAAGAATCACCCACCTGTTGTTTTCTTTTCAAATTTGACTATCTCTGCCCCTAAACATCAAAACCTGGAAAAAACAAGTACAGTAAAACCTCGTAAAGGTGTGATTGCGCATTCGTGTACTTGGCAAGTATACTTGCCAACTTGCCGAGTACACAAATGTGTGTACGGTAGACTCGCTATCCCAATCAACACCAAAAATGCAATTTTCGATTTTTGCAAGGAAATTTGGTAATTTTATACTTGACGAGTAAAGGCAAACCAAGTAGCTCATTACTACTTAGCTTGAGTACTTGGCAAGTACACTCATGTCGGTTTCCAGCTAATGTGCCCGCTTACAATGTAAACCCGCTTACAGTACAAACTTGGTCTAGTCTTTAGATGTTCCCATAAGAACTACCATAAACAAACCTGCTTATGGTGCGATGAAACCCCATATACAGAGCGTTTTATTATGAGAAAAGGAAAAAAAATATACAATCTTCGCAGATTTTGGTTTCTGACAAACATGAAATTTTTTTAAAATTTTGATAAAAAATTTTCTTTACAAACAATTTGTTCTTGTATCCAATCTATTGGATTGGTAAAAGTTCTCTGCAAAAAATTTTGAGAGATCTTATACGTAGGTTCAATAAAATATTGGAAGATGGCTCTAAAAATCTAAGATAAAAAAGTCCCCGAATCAAAAAAGTACAAGTAGATCTACATATATAGGTACAAATCTGAGACAAAAAAGTCCCGAATGAAAAAGTACAAGTAGATCTACAAATCCGAGACAAAAAAGTCCCCGAATCAAAAGGTACACGTAGATCTACAAATCTGAGACAAAAAAGTTCCCGAATTAAAAAGTATAAATAGATCTACAAATCTGAGACAAAAAAGTCCCGAATCAAAAAGTACAAGTAGATCTACAAATCTGCTGCAATTTCAGATGACTGATTTAAAAAAATAAATTGCACGTGAATCTTTTCTTTCTCTTTTTTCCTTATAATGCGAATCTGCATCAGACCCTTGATTCCCACTAACGAGGTTTTACTGTAAGTGATTTTTTTGATCCTCAATCGTCTTTCTCTATTCCAGGCACATATGATTTCTCAGATGAATTGGTCGAAAAATGTTTGAAATTTTCTTAAATTATTAGAATTATGATTTCAAATTTAATATCAGTCATTAATCAACTCTGAACCGAAAATACTGCGTTTTCTTAGAATTTGGGCGATCAAGATTTCTCCTCGAGATTAAAAATTTTGCTATAGTCGCAATCGAAGTTTTTTTGAGTACACCACTTGGCAACAATGATCCTAAACTTCCCTACTCATGCCTTACTCAAAACGAAAATTCTAGCAGACTAAAGTATTTCAGCCTGTTGGTATTGAACGAGAAGCATTTGAAACGAGAAATCTTCACCTGCGAATACTGAACCAATAAGGTAACTTCTAGAGGAAATTTTTGATCACAGTCATTTACAAACATAACGAAGGACGTATGCGTGAGCAGAAAACTGCAATACAAGGTAACGCTCTGAAAGACGTTCGACGATTTCGCAATGGCCAACGAATAGATCCACAGCGAAATCAAGTTGCTAGGCCACTGATACGCGGTCGACCATCTGCAATTGTCGACCAGCTTGGTGACGATTTTCGACGAATCTTGGAACAATAAACCTGCAACTGCACAACCGTAGCCCCGCAGTGCATCGTCGGAAGCACGTTGTATTCGGTTTTTTGGCGCAGTTTTCGCAGCCCTCGTCTTGCGGAGCAGGCCATCGATGGTGCGCACCACCGGTCCACTCACCACATCGTGGCCGTCGTCTCGGAGTTACGCCGTCTATCGTAAATTGCGCCGCACGATATCCTCCATGGTGCGACGCCTCAGCAACTGGGGGACCGCCTCGTTGAGTCGCCTCCGGCGATGCTGCAGAAACCTTGGCGAATGTCTCCGCGAGCGTTTATCCGTAAATACGGTCTCACGTCCGCATCCTCCTCCTCTTCCTGCTCCAGCTCCTCCTGCTCCTGCGACGGCTGCTCGAATATGCTCACAAACGCAACTGCTGGCTGCTGGTCAACTTCTACGTTGTCGGCGCTCATAACTGTCTATAGCTACTGGCACAGGGGACCAGCTATCTCTTGATCGGCGCACCTCGTCCAGTTACTAGGCAACAAAAATATTACGACTCGTTCGTGTCTGCAAATGCACAGTCTGTGTACGTTTTTCAAGCTCATTACGCAACCCCTTCGAAATGGATGCTCTTCGAGTGCGACGATAACGTATTATTCAGCTTTAGGCAGGTATCCTTGGAGCAGAGGCGGGGGCTTTATGGCTGGCGCCGATCGTCGGTGGGGCGTTCGTTAATTAAATTTTACAAAGATATTTCCACGTGCGAGTAAAATAGGTCGTCTCATTGCTGCGAACGACGATGACAATGTTGAAAATGTTGTATCCGGGTCGTTAGACCAGGCATTTCCTTGTTGACGTGCTTTGTTCGAATTCAATTCGAACCGAGGAGAAACATTTTTTTTCTGTCGTACTCCTTCTCAATACATCCGAACACGTTTAAAAAAATGCTCGACGTAAACTGTAAAGGTTCGCAAGGAAATTAACTGCACTCGTCCATAAGTCCAGATTTGCTTCAGAATCTATAGAATGTTTTTGTTTCAGCATTAAGAACGTGTGAAAAAAAAACACGTGAAACTAATTGAAAAGTTCGATTCCAAAGTTGCTAAAGGACAAATTGAAAACTAGCTGGAAACAAAATCCAATAAAAATACAACTATGAAACGATTCTGAAAGATATCAAGTGCAGCAAAAACCAAAAAAAATTCGCACTTGATACTGTGAAAATATACAAATCAATGTTGGTTTCAAAGAGGGGAAAAGGAAAATTCCTCTCTTTTCAAAAATAAAACTGTGAGAAAATGACATTCTCTACCTAATTTTTGCACGCAGAGACACAAAAAATAAATCACGGATTGAAAAAGTTTGAAATAATCCCCTTCTCCCCCCTCCCCCTTAAAAAGAATTATTTTTCGAAGAATTTATGGGCGAATGAACATGAAAAAAAATGTTAACAATTGGAAAAACTTCTGAACTTCTCCTCAAAATTGTAATTTAATCCGTCACCATGGAAATTCAAGCAAAATGAATTTCTTGAGAGGAAAGAAATATCTGAAAAAAACCGATACAGGACAGTTTGGCTCAGGCGATTGGCCTCTAGAAAATTTGCCTTCAACTTTTCTAGCCTCTGGACAAATTCTCTTCCACTTATGAATTAGTCTCAAATGAAAGGCAAAAATAAAAAATTTTGTCATAGATACTTATTCAGAAAATCACTCAGTCCAGAAAATTATGATAAAATTGGCTTATAAAGAGAATAAAAAATTAAGGTAGAATTAATTTGTGAAAAAAAATTATTAAAATGCCTGTAAAGGGGGACTTATAAAAAAAATGAAAAATTAGGTTAAAACTGCCTGTATAGGCAGACTTATAGAAAAATAAAAAATTATGTTCACTGAAAGAAATCTCACACTAATTTCTAATATGCTGCATACTAAAAAGGTGACAATTCAGTGCATATTAGAAATTAGCTTGCAGAATATTAAAATTTAGTTTGTAATACTAAAATCTAATATGTGCATACTAAATTTTAGTATGCATCACACTAATTTTTAGTATGCACATATAATTTTTAGTATTCACATACTAATTTTCAGTATGCACAAACTAAATTGTTGATGTTAACATTTTAGTAAGTTTGCATACTAATTTCTAATCTTCTGCATACTAAAAATTTGATATCTACATACTAAATTTTAGTATACTGCATGTTAAAAATTAGCTTATGCTAAATTTTAACATGTTGCATACTAATTTTTAGTTTCTGCATATTAGATTTTAATATCAGAAACTAAATTTTAGTTTATTAAACTAACTTTTTAGTATGCGTTTGCTATTTTCTAATATTTTGCATACTAATTTTTATTATGCATTTTTCTCAGTGTTAAAATTGCCTGTAAAGGAATACGAAAAAAAAAAATGAAAAAATTATGATAAAAAATTTAAATTTGAAAATTACTTCAAGAAATCGAATAAATTTATGCCTGGACATGTCTTTCATTTTAGACACGTGTCAAAATTCGTTGACACCCAATAGAGGCAAGTTTTTACATGGAGGCGAATTGTCCGGGGAGGCAGATAATTCGAGGCGAATTTGATTTTGAGGCGAATCGCGGAGGCGAATTGACCGTTCCCCGAAAAAATCATGTATTGTGCAGACCAATACTTGTATACCATTAAATTAATTGAAAGTTAAAATCTCTGTCTCAAAACTTCAGTGATTATCCACTAATTTGAGTGAATTTAATTCAGTAATACCGCCAATATCATCAGTCTTCTCTCAATCAGAACAAATAATTTGAGCCATGATTGAAATATTTCCAACTTGAAAATATTTGCTCGTAACAAACAAAGTTGAGTTTTCATTCATTGAATAATAGGTCAATATCGACTACTTTTTCGTTTTTCGTCAAAACCAGAAAGCTGAAAAATAGCAAGGCTAGAAAGATATTGATAATTCAGGTGAAATACGAGTACGTACGTTTTTAAAAGCTATCATGCAGATGCAAAAGTGACATGTGGCTCAGCAGATAAGATGATCTGAAAAAATAACCCAGTTAAATAATTTCGATTGGTCCACACGACTTTCATCTGCAGTGTGATTATTACAAATATCAAACTCCTTAATTTTTTTCTTTAAAAAAAAAAGATGAACTTCTTGCCACGGACCATCGAGATACAGATTTCAGGGGTCGAGCACAC